TGAATTTTCTGCAAATAATCTCCGACTGTATTTTGGTCTCAATAATTTAATTTCATGCTTTTAAACAACTTTGATTCCTTAAATTTAGCAATAAATTTAATTTTAAATTTTTAGTATTAAATTCCAATACTTCAAAACAGTCTAAGAAAATATAATATTTATTTAGAAAAAAAAAAGAAAATACTTATCTACGGCCGATCAACGAATAACTTTCATTTCAAAAAGAAGAAAAAAATGCTTTTCTTTTTTTTTTTTTCCAGTGAACAATTATTTACACTCATTTATTCGAAAGAAAAACCATTCAACAATCTCTATAAAGGAATAACAAAAATAATTCTTTCTCCGTCCCAAAATTATGATTTTAATTATTTTTGTTATTTTTCATAGATACCGTCAAACATTCTAAACATTATAGTATATTAATGATTTATTGAGATTTTTAAAATAGGATAAATAATTAATATAATAAAAATTTAAAATTATTTTAAAAATTTTTTCCAAATTCAACCAATATTAATTATTCATACTCTTGTTATATAAAGATATTATGGAAAATAAAAGAAAATTATTTTTATATATGACTATTATTTTGAGGCATATAAAAAACAAGACTATAATTTTAGAAGAGAGAGAGTAGATACTTAAAAAAAAAAAAAAAAAAAAAAAAAAAAAAAAAAAAAAAAACTCTTTTCCCATCCATGAGATAATATTAGGAGAAAGAGAATTTTTCGTTTTCATCTTGTTAGTACGGCCGGCCTAGCATCAACCTCTAAAGACAAGGTGACTTTGTCTGCAGGTATTGACAACGGGGAATAACGTTATGTTTTGATTGCGTGTAAAATAAGGGAAAGATGTAAAAATAAGAAGTGGAAGAGATTTTTTGAGATTTGGCAAAATACATTGTTTTGCAAAGGGGTAACAATGCGTGAGTGAAAAAAAAAAAAAAAAAAAAAAAACTCTTCCCATCCATGAGATAATATTAGGAGAAAGAGAATTTTCGTTTGATCTTGTAGTACGCCGTAGCATCAACCTCTAAAGACAAGGTGATTTGTCTGCAGGTATTGACAACGAGAATAACGTTATGTTTGATTGCGTGTAAAATAAGGAAAGATGTAAAATAAAGAGTGAAAATTTTTTGAGATTTGCAAAATACATTGTTTGCAAAGGTAAAATTGTGAGTGTATGTAAAAATATTTTTATTTTATCTCCTTCAATTTCCTCTCTAAAATGGGAGGAAAATAAAATAAGAAAGGTGCAACTATCACTCTTTTATTTTCCCTCCGAGCCAAACAAACAGCGTAAAATAAAGAGTTCCCATCCAAACAAAGCATAAATTTTAATGTGGTCCCAAAAGAGTGCGACAATTCCCGAAATGTCCTTTGTCTGTCTATGATATCCTGCGACCGACGTGTCGTTATCAAGAAAGGCTGCATTTCTTTCTGGGGTTTGGAATCTCCGTGGGTCCCGTCTTACGCCTGAGAACCAATCATAGGACAAAACGTGTTAAGCATCTGGAGCATGTACAGTGGTGTTGGCCCTGCCTGCAACAACAATGAGAAGTGTACTTTTTGGTACTTTTGGGTAATGCCCAAAGCTGACCTAATTCAGTTTTTTTCATCTCCTTTGACACTCTCTTTTAATTGCGATTGGCGTACACGCTCTAATAATTTTAAAAATTGTAACAAAATCATATTTATTAATATTGGTGAGGAAACTAATATTAGAAATAGTGGCAAAAAAGGATAGAAAATCATATGTAAAGTTTGAAACCTATCTACAAGGAAGATCTCAAAATAAACCATAAGCATTTATACAATAAAAAGCCAATAAAATATTAAAAGAAATAAAGAAAATTAAAAAATTATAATTGATGTAAATGAGAAAGGAGTATTTGAATAATTTCCATGTTATCGTAATATTTTGATATTGTAATAACATTTTTTGTTTTCAAAATAATTTCACCCTTTTAAAATTTTGTGAAGAATGGAAATCAATTATGATAAATAAAGTGTTTATCTTTATAATCCGAATGGGATAGTTCAATGGCAAAGAGTAATTGCGGAATTAATCACCATGACTTTTAGGTCATGGATTAGATCCTCCACAACACAAGCTTCCCAGACCAGCCCCTTTGAATATCTCATGTAAATATTAAAAAATAAAAGTGCTTATTTGGAACTTTCTGATTTAATGTAAGATAGATGTTGGTGAATAATTTATTTGGATTAGCAATTTTTGATGGCCTAGTTGGGTAAATTTGAGTCAATATTATCCTTTTAGAAAGAAACATTATAAAATGCAATTTAAAAAATAGGTTTTATATAACTTATGTTAATGTTTAACTTTCAAACATTTCCATCATTAGTAAACACTAATAATAATTAAAATATAAATTAAGAGATAAACGTGTGATCAATATATATGAAGAATTTATTTATGGCTCTTGTGAGTTTGAAAGGATCAAAGCACATCAAAATATATAGTCTATAGTTACTCCATTTCAATTGTATAAAAATCAAGGTGACAATGAAGCAAATTGCCCATTTTTCACATGGCCAAAATATGAAAGAAACTTTGAAAATAATAAATGATGTTGACATTGACCGTCGTGGACCTGACTCCAACCATTAGACGAATTGTTCGCTTTGAATCAAATCAATCTTGTCAATTTTGTCACATATTGGGTTAGCAAAATCCACACGTTTTATCTATGCAGGTGAAATGGAAAACTTTCCATAAGGTCACTCATCTTAGAATTTCCATTAAGCGAACACGTTTAACTCTAGAGTTCTTTTAACTTTGCAAGTCATTCCACCAAGAGACGTCTTTGATAATTAATTTCTCCATTTTCGATATATAATTTGATTCTTTTATGTGTCCCGCATTTCTTTACCCATAGCTAGTTTATCATCTTAGAAACTAATCAAGAGCTTTGCTATGTCCCGCTCTCTTATAATCTGTTTGCTGGATCGAGATGTTACATTGACACTCCAAACAAAGTTTTTGAAACTTCTCATATTCAATTTATAATTTTATTTTAATTTTTTACCTTCTTATTTTTTGGAACTTATATATATATATTTTTTTTTTAGAGAGAGCTAAATGTATACATATAAATAAGAATATGTCATATCAGAACTATTTCATTATCTTTTTATTTCTCTAAAAAGTTTTAAAAATAATATTATTATTATCAATATATTTTTTTCTACCATGTTATAAAATAATAAATATATTTTTATAATTTATAGTAAAAATAATAAATATTGACAAATATATATCAATTAAACATGAGAAGAAAATATACTTAATTTATCCAAAATAAATTGTTAAATTCATTTTTTCAATTTTACAAGAAAAACACAACAACAAAGTATTCAATTTATTACCAACTGAAATTGTGTTGTTTAATTAAACTAGCTATATATATATATATATATGATTTATTTTCATAGTGAAAAAAGTTGTATATTGATGTCACTATATATAACATTGACAACTAGATTTATAATTTTACCAAAAAAATATGTTTTCAATTTTATTATATTATCTAATCACAATTTCATTTCTTTATAAGTATATAATAAAAACTTATATAATACTTTTCAATATATTTATTAATATAATTTCTTTAAAATTATTATAATAAAATTAATACACCTATAATAAGATATAATAAATATCAATGATTTGTAAATGAATTAGTTCACAAACTTATTAAACAAGCCATCTCATTAGTCTCACGAAGGAGTTTGCTCGTGAGCCTAAATAAATCAGTTCATGAATCTATCTTCAAGCTTAATAAATGAGACAATTCGGGAAATTTTGCCGAGCTTTCTTATGCTCGATCTTAATTCATTTATCAAATGAGACTAAAAATCTTAGTTTATTTTGAAACCGAATTCAAATTAAATCGGTTTGCAAATAATTTAATTTATTTAAAACTCTATTTGCAAATGTGTGTTTTGTTCCTAATTAGTGTGCGTACGTTAAGTATTTCTTATTTATCTAATAATAATAATAATAATTTTTTTAAAAAAAAAAAAAGAATAGGTGGGTGGAGTACTAAAAACGTTTCGAGGAGTCCCAATTATGGTCCAAAAAATATAAAAGAAGTTGCATGCTCTTTTAGGCATGCTTTTTTTAGGCATTTAAAAGAAGTTTCTCGTTTTTGACACATAATTACCTCTTTTAGTCCAAAAAATTACCAAGCATAAATATAGAAACCCATTTTTCTTTTTGGTTTTGAAGTTACAAAATTTATTTTTTATTAAAAGAAAACTGAAACCATTTAATTGATTATGAACCCCCCAAATTAACCGAAAAGACAAATTTGCCCCTATTTTAACGACCTAAGGACCAACAACACTGAAGTCTAAATCGTCATTAACCCATTATTACCTAATAAGCCTATCCTCAGCAACCTCTAATCACGGGTCCATTTCGAAAATCAATCAAAGGAATTTTTGCTGGAAAATGGTAATTAATACCCAATTATAGAAAACCAGAATATCATTAGCATTTATAAAGGTCTAAATAATTAGAAGATTCTGTTTGGATTTTAACCCCTTTATCCAATTTATTCTTTTTTTTTTTACTATTTAGTTGACCATTATGGCCTATTAATTATCATTAGATCAGGTAACTTTCCAAATTACCACTCGAAATTTTAATTTTTTTAATGAAAAAAATATTAAGTAAATTCACATAGATTGATCATTACCCATCTCACAAACTCAGACCCTTCTATCACCGTACAATTTTTGTTTACATGTGATGGGAACAATCATGAATTGACAAATTTTGTGGGTCACCACCTTAAATATGCAACTAATATGTGAAGTGGACCCACAGTTTTAAAAATGGACGGTCAAGATTGATGAATCTGTTTATAAAATAATACACATCATATTCAAATTATCATGTCTTGAAGAAGGTCTGCTACTGGTTTATAAACTATTACAAATCATATTCACATTTTCATATGAAAGACAGAAGGGGAAAACAAAAAAAGATTACCTTAAAAGAAATTTTAAAGAAAAAAATTAGAGAGAGAAGCTAGAAGGGGCATTATCATATATAAACCATAAACAATGTTAGAAAAAGAAAAAGGCTTTTGTGTTCTGTTAGGGAGGAGGAAAAGCAAAAGCTAAAGACAAATACAGAGTGCAGAGAGAGAGAGAGAGAGAGAGAGAGAGTTTGTGTGTTGTGTGTGCTAAAAAAAACTAATAGATCTCTGTTTTGTTGGGGGTTGAAACCTCTTTCTTTCTTTCTTTCCCTCTTCTGGCCATCACTATCATTGTCCCATTGTACAGCTTTTTCTACTTGCTTCCATTTTCTCTCTCTCTTTCTCTCTCTCTCTGTTTCTTCTTGTTGATCCACTCTCAGTGAATCTTTCTCTTCTTTTTTCTTTTTTGCCATCTGGGTTTTGCTAGAAAGGCTCAATAACACAAGTTTCAATTTCAATTTCACGGAAAAATCTTTACTTTTTGAAAAAGTTTTTATTTTTATTTCTTTGATCTCTGTTCTCTGCGTTCTCTGTTTTATATTTTCTTCTGGGCGTTTGGAGTTCTTCGGTTTATCATGGTTGTAGAGGATAAACGGAGCGGTTTAGTTAATGAAGATAAATTTCCAGTGGGTATGCGTGTTTTAGCAGTTGATGATGATCCAATTTGCCTTAAAGTTATAGAGAATCTGCTTCGAAAATGCCAGTATCAGGGTATATTTCTGTTTCATTCTACGATTTTTTCTATTTATTGCCACGTTTTTAATTTGGTTTTTCTCTGATTTTCTAACGTGGCTTGTTTTATTTTTCAATTCTTTTGTTTGATTTGTTTTTAACCAACACTATGTATACGTGTTATGAATTATAAGACTAAATACACTGTAGGTGCTCTGTTTTTTTTTTTTTTTTTTTATCAGGGTATATTTCTGATTTCATTCTACGATTTTTTCTATTTATTGCCACGGTTTTTTAATTTTGGTTTTTTCTCTTGATTTTCTAACCGTGGCTTTTGTTTTTATTCTTTCAATTCTTTTGGTTTGGACTTTGTTTTTTAACCAACCACTATGTATACCGCTGTTATGAATTATAAGACTATAAATACACTGTTAGGTGCTCTAGTTTTTTTTTTTTTTTTTTTTCTAAGTTAAAACTTATTGCATAACAATTAATCATTTAATATTGTAACTTCAGTCATTCCTGTCGATTCAAGTTTTCAATTATTTATGATTGTTGGGGTTTTTAAAATTCTTCTTGTTATTATTTTTGATTTAAGATTTTTAGTTGTTAATTCTGATATTTATGCTAGAGTTGGTCTGGTCCTTTCCATCAAATTACAAATCTATTATCTTCTTGTCACCACATTATTGTGTTTTTTCATGAGATTTTGCGGCACATTAGAAATTGATCTATTATTATTGGTACATGGGATTTTGGGATTTTTGACTATGGGTACATCCTTTTGCGTCTTTGATTTCTTTTCTACCGGTCTTTTTATTGGGTTTTGCAGTTACAACCACCAATCAAGCAATCACCAGCCCTAAATATGCTTAGGGAGAACCAGAAATAAAATATGACCTGGTTATCAGTGATGCTTAACATTGCCTGACATTGGATGGCCTTTAGCTACTGAGCTTGTGGGGGCCTTGAAATGCGACCTAGCCTGTCATCAGTAAGCAAGGAACCTTATTCTTTTTGATATCAATTTTTGCAATTTCATGATTATTTTCTTGTTCAATTGGTAAAGAACTCTAATTTAAGATCAGGTTGAGCTTTTCTTAGGATTTTCAAGAAACTGGGCCTAGTTTTGTGGTTCAAACTTTAAAAAGGCAACTTATGTACCTTCCTGCACTGGACTACATAGTTTTCAACTTATCTTAGTTTTCACCTTAACGGCTTAAATTGATATTCTGTTTGAAAGTCAATGGACGGATTGCGTTTTACAATATAATCAGTTCCTATGAATTTTGTTTCATTTTTTTTTTTTTTTTTTAGTTAAAACTTATTGCATACAATAATCTTAATATGTAATTCAGTCATTCTGTCGATTCAAGTTTCAATTTTTTTTTATTGTTGGGTTTTAAATTCTCTTGTTATTATTTTTGAATTTAAATTTTTAGTTTAATTCTGATATTTATGTAGAGTTGTCTGTCTCTTTCCATCAATTACAATCTATTATTCTTGTCACACATTATTGTGTTTTCATGGATTTTGCGGCACATAGAAATTGATCTATTATTATGGTACATGGATTTTGGGATTTTGACTATGTACATCCTTTTGCGTTTGATTTCTTTTCTTACCTGTCTTTTATTGTTTTTGCAGTTACAACCACCAATCAAGCAATCACAGCCCTAAATATGCTTAGGGAGAACAGAAATAAATATGACCTGGTTATCAGTGATGTTAACATGCCTGACATGGATGGCTTTAAGCTACTTGAGCTTGTGGGGCTTGAAATGGACCTACCTGTCATCAGTAAGCAAGGACCTTTATTCTTTTTGATATCAAATTTTTGCAATTTATGATTATTTCTGTTCAATGGTAAAGAACTCTAATTAAGATCAGGTGAGCTTTCTTAGGATTTCAAGAACTGCCTATTTGTGGTCAAACTTTAAGCAACTTATGTACCCTGACTACTACATAGTTTTCAACTACTTAGTTTTCACCTTAACGGCTAAATGATATTCTGTTTGAAGTCAATGGACGGATTGGTTTTAAATATAATCGTTTCCTATGAATTTTGTTTCAGTGTTATCAGCACACAGTGACAGGGAGCTTGTGTATAAGGGGGTTACACATGGTGCTGTTGATTACTTGTTAAAGCCAGTGAGAATTGAGGAACTCAAAAATATATGGCAACATGTGATCAGGAGAAAAAAATTACAAACCAAGGATCAAAACAGGTCCCCGAATCAAGAAAAGCCTTGTGATGGAGCAGGAGAAGGTGGACAAGGATTGTCATCAAGTGGTAGTGCAGATCAGAATGGAAAAGCAAATCGGAAACGGAAGGACCAAGATGAAGACGAGGATGAAGAAGGTGAAGAGAATATAAATGAGAATGAGGAGCCTGGGAGTCAAAAAAAGCCTCGGGTTGTTTGGTCTGTTGAGCTGCATCGGAAGTTTGTTGCTGCTGTTAATCAATTGGGTCTTGATAGTAAGTTCTTGGACATAAAAGTGATGTTATGCATTCCTGTAACATTAACTACTGTTCCTAATTCCTTAATTTGACTCGTTAAATTTTACATAATCAATTGCAGAGGCTGTTCCCAAGAAAATTCTTGACCTGATGAATGTTGAAGGGCTTACAAGGGAAAATGTGGCAAGCCATCTGCAGGTTCTAATTTCTCCTATTTGCTTATTTCCAAAAACTTTAGTAATGCCATTCATATAATTACTAATTCTGGAATCAATAACTACTTGGCATATATGGTGTTAATCATGTGGCTGTTGGCAATTTTCAAAAATTTGGCATGAACTTCAATGTTACTGCAAATGCATTGAATATTGAACTTAGTGAAGAATCCACATGAGCCCCACTATGTATTATAGATAGATATGTAATGGTTAATCAGGTCGTATTGTATGTATGGCAATCTAAGTTGATGAGGCTGATGATAAACTGTGAAACATTCAAGGACTGTGTTCCAAGTTGTTTGGAAGTTCACTCCTTACATTTTGTTACAGAAATATAGGCTTTACCTGAAAAGAATCAGTAATGCAGCATCACAGCAAGCTAACATGGTTGCTGCATTTGGGGCCAAAGATCCCTCTTACTTACGCATGGGTTCGCTGGATGGATTTGGAGATTTTCGAACTTTGACAGGACCAGGGAGGCTTTCCAGCACATCCATATCTTCATATCCATCTGGGGGTATGCTTGGTAGATTAAATTCCCCTGCTGGTTTGACCTTGAGGGGTATAGCTTCTTCTGGTCTTCTCCAGCCAGGTCATTCCCCAGCACTCAGTAATTCTGTTAATACTCTTGGGAAGCTTCAGCCAGCTCTTCTGCCTTCAAGCCAAGGAGCAAATTTGTTTCCAGGTGTTCCATCATCCTTGGAGCCCAACCAGCTTCAGGGAAAATCAAATGCCCACATTGGAGATTTTAATCGGAATGATGATACGTCAGGTTTTACCCTTGCAACTAGCTTCTCAGATGCCAGAGTTACCCCTGGAAGCTTGGGCAATACCGTTTCCAGTTCCATAAGCAACCCTCTAATGCTACAAGTCAACCCCCAACAAAATCAGAGTAGGGGAGCATTTGCAACTCAATCTACTCTCAGTTTGCCTTCAATGAATCAGGAACCTTTTGATGTTGGTGTCCAAGGTTCTTCTAATTTCCTGGATCATAGTAGATGTAATGAAAACTGGCAGGGTGCAGTTCAACTATCCAAGTTTTCAACAAATCCTTTGCCTCTGAGTGAACCATTCAGTCACGATCCATTATCTGCTAGTAACCTTAGAGACAGTATATCATCCACCAGTTCTCAGATTGGGAATAGCCCAAATGTTTTTTCTTCTTCCAGTGCGCTTGCAGCTCCTTTGGATTCTAGAGTGGATATGCAAGGGCAAGCTAGCTTGATCGGTAATGTCTTTCAGAATATGAATTATAATTCCAGGCAGCGGTGGGATGAACATAGCCAGGATTATCACTCCAATCTAAATAACTCTATCAGCAACATAAACCCTCTGGTTTCTGACAATGGCGTTGTGGGTACATTGAACCAGAGCATTGACCAAAGAAAAAAGTTTGATGCATCTATTGTTGGCCAGTTAAACAATGTCACTCCATCCACTTTTCAGCATCCTGAAGTTGAAAAGTCTTCCTTGGACCCAAAAATGAGGTCAAATGAGGACTATCTCTTGGAACAAATGAAGTCCCAGAATAGTTTTGCGCAGAATAACTATGAGTCCTTGGATGATATAATGAATGCGATGATCAAACGGGTATGATTACATATTTTGCTTTGCCTCATTTACATTTTTGCAATGTGTTCTCTTTGCTGTCCTAATTATAAGTTTAAATTGGCTTTTGATTATTAGATGATTGAAGCACAAAAATAGGATGCAGTAATGAAATGAACTTGTTTGGAAATAACCTTATATTATTAAAAAAAAAAGTATGAAGTAGCCACAAAATAACACCTTAAACTTTTGAACTGCCTAAATGCAAATGTATAAGACCGATCAGATGAAGAATTGAAACATGAAATAGGTGAGAATCTGGAGAATGCATGAGATGGTCAAGATGAATATAACACTTCTCTTCAGCATTGCTGTGAAGTTCTTATTTAAAATTTTCTAGATTTACCCTTTGGCATTATAAAGTTGGTATAAAAGGTGTTTTAAAATAATATGAATGTCCAACAAGGTATTATCCGTTTGGACTCAATTTTTGTGACTGGCCCATAATAGCTTAGGAAATTGTAGTTCCAACAATTAATTCTGAAAAAGTTCAAGGTGTCCCAGGTGATTTATCCTTTTTTCTTTGTTTTTCTGGTCAAGACCTTTAGAAACCTTTAGTCTTTCAATTACAGTATTGTCAGCTAACTTCCAAAATGCTATTCTAGTTGAATCCAAAAACTGGTAATAAATTGAAACTTTCCAATATCAATTTCTTTGTTAGATTGCTTTGAATCATGTGCATTTCCATTCGTGGTCTAATTAATCTCTATGGTTTCTTCTATACCTAATAAGCTCACAAGTAAGCTTAATCTACTTTTGCTCCATGAGCATAAAGAAGAGAGTTGAATTAATTGGTTTTACACAATTGCACTCTACATTGCCGCATAGGTTAATGAAAATGTTGGCTAGATCGCATTCCATTATGCACTTAATGCATTTATCCAACAAGGCTCATGCATCAAGGAACATAGCAGCAGCTATGCCAATGGTGTTATTAGTAGTACAAGAATGTTTTACTCTATTGTTTTATGAACATGTAAAAATTGTCTCTATGACAAATATAATTGATATCTCATGGAAGCCTGTTTTCACTTGCTCATCCAGAATAGTTTTGATTAAAATACTTTTTGAAAGAGTGTAGGTAATTTGGTATCACATTGACTTTTAGTCTCGTCTCTTTCCAATCTTTATTGAGTGTAGGCGGGGCGGAATCACCTTTTTACTCCTTTTTTTTCAAATGTTTACTGGCATGAAGCCCGATTAGCGGCCAATAATGGAAGTATCTGGGGGTTCAATAAAGTTTCTTTGTGGCATGATGATGCAAGAGATGTTGAAATCATGAAATGTCAACATGCAAAAGCTTGAAGGAAAAATAGGACCCCCTTTGTATTTTTATGTGATGCTAGAACATTAGTACTGTGATCAAACTATTAATCAAAAGCTGGTTGTTCTTTGCTTAATATTTGTGATTCAGCAGCCTATTTATATTTTCAGCCATTAAATTTACTTGAGCATTCTTTGACATTAAGTGTATTTGAAGCAGGAGCAAAATGAAACGATGCTAATGGATGGAGAGTTCGGATTCGATGCCTACTCCCTAGGATCATGTATTTGAGACTTCTCTACAGCTGATCATAGAGAAACAATGATGCCTAAGTCCACTTCCCTCTTGGAGGAATTTGTATCATTTTGTAATCTATTTTGCATTTCTTTTCTTTTCTTTTCTTTCTTTGCTCCCTTCTTTCAAATGTACTTTCTTCTTCTCCTTTCCACATTATTCTATGTTACTGTAGTTCATTGCTGCTTGATATTGATAGCAGAATTCCTAGTTTCTTGATTCTTTCTTGATGATCCTCTTTATCCTTGTTGATAAATGGAGTGTCAAATTCATAAACTTTCATTCATTGCTGTTTCATGAGGCTCCTATTTGTAAATTTTTTTCAGATTGGTTGGATTCTTTTGAACATGACATTGATAACACCATTTTAAGCTTTTGTTAAAGATCTTACCAAATGGCAATAAATATTTGAACAAAGAGTCACATTTTTTATGCCTTACAGCAATTGTCAAAATCACATAAGCCGTTTTCTCAAGATAGATGAGTTTTAGCATCTTAATAATAATAATAATAATAATAAAAGAAAATACACCATTACTAAAATATGTTTGTTAATGAATAATTTTAGATTTGACATTGATGTCAAATATTTAAATATAGAAAACTCCTAATTATCTTCTTTAAATGATGAATCTTTCTTGTACACTTCTTTTTGTATATACAATAATGAAATTGTTCATCTCAATAAATACTAATGGTCTTGATAAAATAATAATTAATTATTCCTATAAAAGATATCTTAATTATTTAGTTATCAATAGCCTACAAATTGTGAGAAATAGAAAAAGAGCTTCTTTCTTTTACCTTGGTTGGCCTGAGAGAAATATATGCAAACAAGGCAGAACCCATAAAAATATTCATGAAGTCACCCCAACGCATATCTTGTCATCAATCAAAAGGATAATTAAAGAATTCAAATGCCTTTAAACAGGGACAATACAAAAGATCTAATGGTTAAAATTAGATCATACATTGAATTCAACTCAGTCAAGCTCAACTAGCTGAGCTCTTCTCTCTGCAGCTCTCTTCCTTATAAATATCCCCCAGCGCAAAGCTGCTTTCAGCTTAAGCCATCCTACAACAGCCTTGCCGGAGCCTCTGCTCCGTTCCTGTGCATATACTTGATCCATTTGAGGTTCATATGCTTGAATACTGTAAGAATAGCAACCCTCATCAGAACTTCCAAAACCATTTCCCATTCCAACTCCAATGCCCATACCGAACGTTTTTAAAAGTCTCTGCATGTCACCACTCTCTAACATCTCTGTACTCCTCAGCCGGATTTCTTCTGCAAAATAATCTTCCAGTCCTTGCCCATTCCTTGTCTGAGACCAGTCTCCTGAAAAGTAAGTACCGGGAGTCGCAACTGACATGTGATCCATGCTGCTACCAGCTGTTGCTACCTGTTGATTATTTAGTGTCATTACTGCATCATGATCAGACCGAACAAATGGAAACTCAATCAACTGAGGAACTGATGTGTGGTTATTTACAGCTTGGCTTTGTAGACCTTCTTCTGATGAGATATATTGCTGTTGCCTGTTTTGGTTAGAAGTAATATAGTGATTTGTGTCATAGTTGTCGACTATAGGTGCAACCGAGGTTCTTCTCCCATTCTTAGTGTTCATTAGGGTGTTCAAGACTTTTCCATCATATTCCATTACTTGATGCCAATTTTCATATGCTTGCTTCACTAGAGAATCCACTGAAACCTGTATGCAAAAATTAATATGAACGACACAATTTACTCATAAATGCAGTTATTTAGTTGCTAGGTTGTTGAGCTCATGCCACATAAGGCATTATCTAATGTAAAGGAACACTTTATTCAGCAACTAAACTGCCGCTACTCAGTGTCGGATTTAACTTTCCCATAACCTTTCCTCATATACGGACTAACTTGTGTTGAAGGGTGTCCCCATTTTTTCATATACGAGAATTGATGTATGATATGGCTGGCTTTCTGAATCTAGATAACTAACCTTTTGATTGTGGGTAAGAGATTCCAAAGCGAGGAACTGCCCATCAGTAATAAGGCCTCTGAGTTCATAAATATGGTTGAAAACAACACCAGTGCTATTAGACGCTTCCGCATAATAAACATAAAGCTTTCCTCCCAAGACACAGGTCTTAGCATGCTCCACAGTATTCTCCCACATCCTATTGGACATTCCACTTCCTAGAATCTGCATTTTGAACATCAAAGTTGAAAGCCAAAAAAAACAAAAAAAAAATTATCAGTATGGAAAAAGGAATGAGAAGTGAAGGGAAATATTTAAGGCATGTAAACAGAACTTGTTTATGTCACACAACACAAGAACATTGACATGACCACTCTTACGAAAATTAGCATGTTATATGTGTGCCCTTCATTGTGTTAGAAAAGTGTCTGATATGACACACGGACACATGCCGAAACTGATGTGTCGGCGCTCCATACGAAAAATTTCTAATCGTTTATGGAAAAAAAAAAAAGGAAAGCTAGAGTAAGGAATTCTTACATTTCTCAGTTTCTGTGGATCCCTGACAAGAACCCGAAGAAAATCTTCAACTGTTACAATTTGAGCTTTTACCAATTTTTTGTGCAGAGCTCCATCCTTTGCTATTCTATCCAGTCTCCAAACTTCATCATGCAAAGCAGGTGGATAGTGTTTCTTGTACACTGCAGATTACATGGACAATGTTGATTAGAACTTGCTTAAGACAAAGTCATCCGCAGTTTATTAAAATGTAGGCTTAGGCAATTCAGTATTCTACTCCAAATTAAGATATCACAAAATGAAGTGTCAACAGCAAAATCAATCATAAATAAAAATCTTTCCAAAACTCACATTCTCCTCGGTGATCTTTAACAGCAAATGCCTCTGTTTTAGCCTCACGAACACGAATACCTTCACAATATCCAGGAGAAACCTTAAGACCAAGCCTGAACTTTCTGCTTCTTATCCAGCTAGAATTATCAGTGAAAGTAAGATCTCCAAGAGTTCCTACCCCTTCCTTGAGAGTCACCTGTAGCTCTCCAGTCAGCAGAGGTCTTTTCCCTTCACGTTCTTTCACTTCATGGCTTTCAAAGTGTTCTAAGGTCCAATCTTCATCGGCCTCCTCGTTAAAGTCACCTTCCAGAACCACAACATTTAGTTTGGCTGCAGATTCTTGTCCAGCTTGCACAACACAGCCTGTGCTCGCATCTAGTAGGACAACATGGATAGCTGCTCCTTGTTCCCCGTCAACCTTCCCACCTGTGAATAAGTGAGGAGGCATTCTTGTTCTGAAATGAAGTTGCAGCCTTTTTCCTTCTGGCCCTTGGATTTTTGGTGGTGACCTGCCATAGGTAGAAATGCAATTTGTAATGTCAAATTTTTCAGGATATTACCTACGTTTTACAACAATATTCATTGCTCATGTCTGGTTCACTTTGAAATTGGGAATGAAATAAAATCCTCAGAATAGGATTCCAGTACAACAATATTTTGACTAGAACTATGTAATCATCCTTATACAGTCAAATACAAAGCGAACTATCAATTTTTAGCATCTAAATCTAATACCTTGTAGCCAACTTAGCATGACCCAATCTTGTCAGAGCACGCTCCACTTCTTCGCTAACCTGTGTATTGTTCAGTACAATGTCATTGTTCTTTTTATTTATCTATCACCAAATCGCAAAAGGAAAATAATAAAATAAAGAATTTATGACTCACAATTCTGCGAAACAAAGGTTCCAAAGATGAGCAAAGTCTTTGCAAACTATCCACCTTCAAAGCTTCCACAATAACACTGCATATAAATTAATTCATATATCATTGGAATGGACTGATAAATTTCCCACATACAACTGCAAATAAATTAACCAAGATGAAAGCAAGGAAGCACAAAGACATTGAACGCAAATTCAATCAAATTGCATCCAATTTTACCAAGTCATGAAAGAAAGCAGAAAAATCCAAGTTAGAAACCTAGTCTGGATTCTAGCTAACATAATTCAATCTCCCAATTCTTTCTCTCGTAATTACCCAAGTAGAAGTAACCTTTCAAGCCATAAAGAACAAAAGCTATACCAAACTATGAATTGCTATAACCGAGAAACCATATGTACAACAAGAATCAAATAATAAAACCCATTAAAACAAAATCAATGAAGCATTCAAAACAACCTTGCTAAAGCAGGCAACTTTGCCTTCTTTGGATCAGGCAAGTGGTCAGATTCATCTTCAACACTCTGCTCATAACCTCTCTTCTCCACTCTCCTGTTTCTTGAATTTTCCATTAAAAGAAACTCGCAAAATCCAAATATTTTAAAGCTGAGTTTCCAAATATAGAAAAAATCAGTGAATCACTAAAAGATCCACACTTATGCTCCAAGAAACTTAAAAGAGAAACACCAGCCAAGAAACATTATCATCCCCAACAGATTCTTCCAAAATAAAGATTAAAGACTGAAAATTTCAGACCCCAAAAAAACTGAAAACGGCCTTTGTTTTTTTTAATAAATGATCTGGGGTTAGCAAGGGTGATCTGCTTGGGCAGTTTAGGATCGATCCAATCCAAAGTTGATTTCTTTTATTGGGTTAAGATCTAAAATACTAATATAATAATTGTTTTCTTTAAAGTCACAGCTGTATTTAGTGCATTAACTTTGAAAGTCTTTGAAAGCGCGTTTCTTGGTGAGATCCCCCTCTGGTTTCATTTGGTAGTGCTATTTGACCGCTTTTGCCTGTTTGAGGAAGAAAGTCAAATGCTGCCGGTGCCAAGTTATGGGCCCGACTATAATACATATTACGTAACATAAGTACATAACTTTATAAAGTAAAAACTACTCCACGGACAGAATATATATATTTATGTCATGTGAGTGACAGAAAATTATTTGACAATCTGTTTGGATACACAGATAGATGCAGTCTTGTTTTATTTGCTGGAATTTTGTGTGAGAGAGTGTAAATAGCAAATCTTGATAGTTTTAGTAAATTATAAAAAATTCACCTTAAATTTGATTTCATATAAAATTCCAGCATATTGTTCCAAAATTAATATATAAAGTTCCCTAACGAATGAGACTGAGTTGATTCCAGGTAAAAGAATTGCTAGTAGCACACTGAAGAGTTGAGAGTTGCCTTGGTAAATAAAAATAAAAAATTTCATCACACGTGTGCCTGCCACAAGTCATGTCACAAAAAGCTTGTTAAGATGTACATAAAAAACAGAAACAGGGAGTAACAAGTAGCAGACGCTTTCATATTCATGATTCTGCCTTAACATTGGAGATGGGTACCAGACCACATGTCGTTTACAAGACAACCAAAACAAGCCTTTATACGACCAACCTCAATAGCATAACACTAGGGAAAAATGCACCAGGAAAATGCATTCAACGTGCTAGTCTTAATACAAGTGAATTACAAGTAAAAATGATGAATACATATATCATTTTCTTAACCTTCACAAGCATTCTGCTTGCCTCCTATATAAATTACTAGGCATGGTTCCCTAGTTCAACTGAAAGGGAAAAAGTTTGTGCTAATTTTACAAGACAATTATTCTCCTTCCCAACCCAGTTGGCGGGCCCGTCGCTCCCACAGGGAAGTAACTTTCCTTTCCTTGATCAACAAAGCTTCGGCCCGCTCTCTAGCTTCTTCACATGTCTCAGTGGCAGCATTACATTTTTCTGCTTCTTTTTGGTATTGGGAAGCCACCCTCTTCGCTTCAGCAAAGGTGATGTTCATGTGGTGAGCGTGCTCTTCAGCAACAGCCTCCTGCAATTTCAACTCCTCTGATAGAAGGTCAATAAACTGCTTCTCCATCTCCCTTTTAAGATCAGGGTCATCGCTTCCACAATCTGTGGTATCACCATATGTTAAATTAAAATATCAGCTAGACCAATATTCGTTGGAAATTTAGCACTAAGAACAAGTGTCGTTGAAAATAGGAAGCTTTTGGTGGCAAAGAAATTTTTGCCAAAAGGACATCTCAAATTTGACCCTCTAAATGAACTTGAACAAAGGGAACTCAAGAACATGCAGCCATAGGTGCCAACAACTACAACCATCAAAATAGTTACTTTTGTCCTATTATTTTTATTTTTGCTCATTGGCTTCAATTTGGAAAATTGTTGCAGATTAAATTATCTCATTAATATTGAGACAAAAAAATACCAACTCAATGAAACTTTAATAACAAGGAAGTTTAGCAAAAACGTTTAGGTTGTTTCCACACATAAAACTGCCTGTGTGATTGGATAGGCCCAAGTTATGTAGCCATTAAAGTTAACAGAAAACTGGAGCTCTAAATCGAGATTGCAGATGCAAGTTAACAAGCTGACCATGCTTATGTTATCTTGTAACTGTTATAAGAGTTGGATCCATAATGGGGAATCCCAACAATTATAAAAGAGTCACAATGTAATCTTTTTAGCAGTTGGATGGAGGAAATTCCGTATTATATAAATTGGGAATGCATGCACAAGAAAAATAAGACCCAATAACATAGCTATGTCCTAGTTTTGTTGTACAAGCAACTTGTGCAATGTATGTGTGTCAAAGAAAGAGAGGGGGTGAGGGAGGTTGGAGACAACAAATCTGTCATATTCTTAGAATTGCAAATGAGTTCAATCACCAAGACAACTGATAAAATGAGATCTAACCTGTGACTGAGAGATTGGCCAACCCTGTAAGCACAAAACAAAAGCACGAAGACAACAAATATTAGTATATGATTTGATTTTTGTCCAAACTTAAAACTCTAGACTTCAAATTTATTTTATCTAATAAGCATAAGTTTATACTTTATAAATAACAGCACAAAAATATAAAGCTTCTGACTAGCAGACAATTTTCAGTTCAATGTGGAATTCTATTCTTGTATATAGTAGTATACCACTTTAAAAAAAAAAAAAAAAGCAATAGTAAGATGTAGAACCATAAAGAAACTTCTTAAACGAGACAGGAGAGCAGTTTTCTTTTCATAGAGATGGTCATCATTATAAGTCAAATTTAACAATCAAGTAATCTGTAAATGGACTATCCATCACATCTTCAGACATACAAACAAATGCCTATCTATATCTAAGTTGTCCACATTCTCATCTACAGTTGCATATCCTAGCATCACAAACACATCCTAGCAGTCTAGATAACAGTCAAGTTAACTGTTTGGATTCTACATCAAGTATCATCTTTAGCCATAGATATTTAAAGCTACAACAAAAAAGCCTGCAACGAACTCATTATGTTGTCATGGACATGTGGAATACAAAGGTAAAATATTCAGCTTCAATGCATGATGCTCATCTAAATGGGAAAGAAAAGGAAGAAAAGAAAATATATAAGAAAAAGGTACTGAAGGGCAATCCAGCCATAAGATAAACTATAATCCTAGAATTTGTTTTGAATGGAGTTCCCAGAAATAGTGACAAACAAATATCTTCAGATAATATCAATGTTTGTTAAATTAATTAGTCCCATCAGGATAATTTCACTAAAAAAGAATTGACCTCCAATAGAAACTAAGAAGTGTTCAGTTTCTCAGATTTCTGAAATATTCAAATATTGGGAGAGAATGAGAAAGAGAACCCAGCCTCCTGAATGAAATAAAGTTTCAACAGATGAAACAATCAAGGTCTCTGGAGATAGTCTCCTGCCCCAGGAATATGTTTTCTGACTTGCATTAGCTTTTCAGCTACAAACAATGTCCTAAAAGACGAATTTCTCATAAAAGAGGACACAGAAAAGACACAAAAAAACAAAAACTCATCTTGAGTTTTATAACACTCTAGAACAAAATTAAGAAAGTAGAATAAATGCAGCACCACAGATTGAAGCATGTAATAACAACTTCTATTCATCCATCCAGTTATATATTTTCAAATGAAGTTCAATTGACAATGAACTAAGCATCCAAATTTAACAATATAATAATCTACAACAGATGGCCAACTAAGAGTCTAAATCAAAGGGCTATAAACAATATATTGCTTGCAATTGATGAGAAATTCTAAGTGCGTGGGTAAAACACTACAGGATGCCATGTAAACAAGAAATTTTTAGGAAGATTACTGTCTGCTTTCATTACAAGCATAAAACCTCCAATCAGATTTTAAACCAAAAACCAATTGAGTAGATTCTTGGCATCCAAACTAAGTTGGTGCTTGGTAAAACTGAAAATTAAGTGCTAAAAATAACCTGAATTTTAAGTGCAGAATATTAAGTAAAGCTTATCTTAATTGCGACTCTAAGTGATATGTAGATGAATTTTATCAAACAACTTAATACTAACAAATGCTGAAAAATTTAAGTTTAAATGTTGAATAGTTTATCTAACACTGCCTAAGTAAAGGTTTCTAGCATAAACCAAAAACATGAAAAAGCACAGAGGTCTTCTTATCATTAAAATGCACTAGATCTTAAATAAACAGGTAGATCAAGAGATGGTCCACACTGCAGTCGATAAAGGACAAGCTTAATGTGAAAGCTAAAATTTGAGTAATCAGAGGTCTATGTTAAGGTACATATGTCCCTCTACCTTGTGAATATTCAGTCGCAATTACAGGAAAGGTGTGAAAATCATATTCACTTAAGAGTATGAGATAGGAATAAGAAGATGCTATTTTCATTACTCAGAAACCAATTTCCTCACCATGTATGATGCAAAAAAAATTCCTGAAGACATCTACATGAATAATTTAGCATCAAGAACTATAAATTAAAGGATTAAAATATACAAAAATTCCTCATGAATTCATTCAAGAAAACTGAATATTCAATTCATGACCAATGGTATTGTGGCAGCAACTGAATATTCAATTCATGACCAATGGTATTGTGGCAGCAACTGAATATTCAATTCATGACCAATGGTATTGTGGCAGCAACTGAATATTCAATTCATGACCAATGGTATTGTGGCAGCAACTGAATATTCAATTCATGACCAATGGTAAAATATTTGTTCAAATAATCATCCTTAGTTATTCAATTGCTGTTTCTGTAGGAATCAACTATAATGGTCACAAACAAAATAGTACAAGTGAACTGTTACGAAAGTGTTAACTATTAAACTTATAATGACTTGGAAACTGACTACATAGTTAATTTTATTCATCAAATTATATTCATTAAGGGCTTCAAGCACTAAAATCTATTATGCGTTAACTTCAAAAACAAAAAAAAATCTATTATGCGTGTATATTTGCACAATTATGCTAACATATCAACAGAGAAAGCAATGAAGCCTGCCATTCATACTCAGATCACATGAAGAAACTATAAGGTCAGATCTTGGTGATGTCATCCGCCTCAAAGCAGGTTCATCAAACTTGTAAAACACAAAATAAGAGAAAAAAAATATAGAAGTCTACAATCAGCAAGAGAAACAAGTCTAAAACTGAAAAGGAAAAGCTTTAGCTACTGTTCCCCTCCAAAAGAATAAAAAAGACAAGTAAATTAATAAAAATAAAATGGGTTTCATTTCATTGATTGAAGGATGACCAACTCAAATTAATAAAGCAGGCACCCGTAAATCACCCTCAAACGAACATATAACTATTCCATCGACAAAGCAAAGAAGAGCTCAGGATCCAAAACTAGGAACAGCAATAGATCAAAACCTCAAATTGATGAAACCATTAATTACAGTAAAATTAACATAAACCAATCAAAAATCGTAACTTTAAAAAAACCCAGATGCAGAGAGAGCAATACCAGGAGCAATCTTGAGAAGAGACAAAGGAGGAGGGCAATCACAGATACAAGGAGGGCAAGAAATTTTAGAACCAGAAAATCCAATGGTTTTCTTAAATCTCCAATAAAGAGCAGGGCCACACACAGCTAAAGCTGAAACCACTGCAAATATCACCAAACAACATCTCAAGCAAGCCCCTGATCTCCTTGACATTTTTGCTTGTTTCTCTCTCTATTTATCTTCCTATATGTATACCCTCTAAGAACTACAGAGTTTCGGTGTCTCTAACGAGAGATGTAACGTGGATGCATTGATGGAATTGAATGTACTGTTGTGGGTTCTTTTTAAGTTTCTATTAGGTTAGAGGATTCACTGTGTCTGTCGCAGAGACAGTTAATTCACAAAATCTAGTCACAGGAAGGAAAGATCCACTCTTTCTCCACTACAATGGAATTGGATGGTGGTAAAGAAGCAATAATATTTTTTAGTGTTAATAATAAATAAAATATTTATTAAAAGAAAGGAAAATTAAAGTCAATTAAACTTGTTTGTGATGGTTTAGAAATTATTTTTTAAAATATACATGTACATAAATATTTAAATTCTACTTCTTAAAGATAACTTCCTTAAATAATTATTTATATGTAAAATTATTTTTAATTAAATATTAAATGTTATTAAACAATTTTTAATTTTTAATTTTTAATTATTTATCAAGTGTTACATCTATAATATATTTTATTCTTATGAAATGTGAAATTTATTTATTTTAATTCACTAATCTTATTCCATATATATTCCATATTATAATATTATATATATATATATAATATATATATATATTACTTTTATATATATTACTTTTAGTATTACAGATTATTTTTTTTTAGAATTAAAAACATATTAAATATCTAAAATAAATTTTACTGCCATAATATAAAGGAGCAATAGTAGCATTTTTATTAGTTGCAATGCTAAAAAAAAAAAGAGGAAAGAGAGGAAAATGCATGTTGTATTTAAAAACTAAAATAAAAGCAAACAAAAATACCAAACTAGTGCCGGTGCTTTTTTTTCTTTTTTTTAAAAAAAAGTGTCGGTGCTTTTATGTATTATCATTTGATTTTATCAGCAATATAATACTGTGGTAGGCATCATAATTGGACATTGCAAGCCCACAGCTCATCTCAGAGAGTAAAAATAAAAAAAGGAAATTGGAAAAGAAATAGAGAAAAACAAATTAAAAAAAAAAATTCCTTGTGTTTGGATATAGAAAAAAATAAATTATATAAAGAAAATAAATTCTTTTTGATTCACTAGCTTAATTAATTTATTTTCTCTAATTATTTTCTTTTCTCCCATAATTTATTGTAATTTAAGTATATATTATTATCTTGAATAATAGTTCAAACTCTCATATTTTTTTCTTAAATAATCCATTCATAAATATTTTTAATTGTACCTTATAGCAAAACAATTTGAATATTACAGTAAAATAATAGCAGGTGCTAATTTTGAGTCCACCTAAACCAAAACACAATTTGAATATAATAAAAGGAAAAAAAAAAAAAAAAAAGATAGTCTTTGTAGTATTTGAATTCCAATCCTCAAAATACACTTTGCTTTTTTTTTTTTTTTTTCCAAGGTTTTTTCCAGGACATAGAATTAGAAAAACTAAAAAAAAAAAAAAAAAAAATGAACATTTGTAATTGAGATTGAAAAACCATATCACCAAGCCTGAACATGTTCCTGCTGAGTAAATCTAAACCTTATGCATTATCTACCCTAAAAAAAAAAAAAAAAAAAAAATGAACATTTGTAAATTGAGAATTGAAAGAACATATCACCAAGCCTTGAACATGTTCCTGCTGAGTAAATCTAAACCTTATGCATTATCTACCCTCAGTTTCAAATCTGCGTAGTACTCATCTATCCACTTGCTAATGATCTCAACTTCCTGGCTTCTCAGTTCTCTAAGCCAATATGGATCATCTTTCATTGAAGATCTAAAATCAACATGATGAGCTCCTGAAAGTAATGATAAAAAAAAAAAGAAAAGAAAATATATTAATACCTATGGCCTCCAAAAGATAGATTATGTTCCCTCAAATCCAAGATTCAGCTTGTTAGAGAAAACTCTGATACCATATTAAAGTTCATAGGATTGCAACATGTAAAAATGAGTGTTCGAGTCCATCTTGCATAAACCAATTGACTTATTATTTTATGTGAAGCTTATTTTCTAACAACAGTGCTTCTACGTATGCTAACAGTGAAGAAGAAAGTTTTACATACCCTTATCGGTCACAAGTGCAATGATGCTAGAAGATATATTCTTCAGGACGCTGAAAGATTTGAGAAAATATCAGTTAGATCATTGTATTTTATCTTTCATGTGGAAGCAATAAGTATGAATGCCCAGAATAAGCAAATAACATAAGGTCTTTCATGGTGATGAAACTTAGTTCGAGGTAAATTTGAAAGGAATAGAAAAAATAGGAGAACTGTAATACACAAATCCAAATTAGTTTTGTAAATGATATGTCAGGAGTGGTTAAACTACATATTTTATGCTAATTCCAGTTCAGAAATTGACTAACTGTATTCCTTTTCTTAGTTTAGTAATTGACTAGTGTGTGGTTTAGATGTCATGTCACATCCTTGTAATGCAAAAATTCTGAAGTTCCACTTTAACTCATGCAAGAACACTTTGATGATCTACTGGTATACTGGATTTGAGGTCGAAGTAGTGGATACTGTCCACTCAACAGAACTTACAATGAAGGACAAGAAAGTGAATCCATATTTTCAAGAACTCAACTAATGAGCATCAGTCAAATCATGGAAGTCAAATGATGAAACCTCCTGTGCAGTTGATAGAAAGAATAAATCTATTGAAAAAATGAAAAGAAGTATTCTACTACTGACCCTCCTCTGCTCCAAGGATCTTGCATCCCATTAGAGAATATAATGTTGCCACCAGATCTCTTCAATACTTGATCGATTCTCTATACATGAGAAAAAATTATTCAGGGTTACTCACTTTACCCCGTAGGCAGCCAAAAAGAAATCATTAGAAGAAAATTTGATAAGGAAACCTCACTTTGCCACCATATTCAGTAGTGATCCAATGCGGTCGAGGCATGACCCCATATTTTTTCTTGCATCCTTTTGAGAACTCTTTGTAATCAAAGCCAGATGGAGGAAACATGCTCTCTTTAGAGCAAGTCATCGGCATGACCATCTCTGTACATGCCTGCATCATTGTTGGCAAAAATGTTAGTAGAAATAGACTACTGCTAGCTTAAATATTTGTAAGACATAGCAATTGAGTGATTTTGGAACATTTAACTTCTAATAATGTGATGTTATGCGCTTACTAAGTTTATCAGACACCATCTTTTTCGTGTACTAATGCACTTTGTAATTCAATGTCATTGACATGATTGGCCTGTAATGTTTTTATCATTTCAATTGTCTTGTGAAATCTACAAACCAGATTACTCTTGTGATCAATAATTAAGGCCTTCAAGAGTTTAATTGAGCATTTTTCCTAGTATTTTTTTTTTTTTTGACATAAATAAATCAAGAAATAGGCTATACAATTAGAGCAATAAATGAATAAAATAAGTTGTACCTGCCAGTTCCAACCATGAAGGCCATGAGCATCATGTTCATTTTCCAACTCAAAGCATTTCTCACCATGAGAATAGTTGTAATATAAGCTTGCAGCTGCAAAAACCCTGCTAATCTTAGAAGCCCCTGGTGGAAATCCATCAATGATCTTGCACATCTGCATTGCAGACAAGGGACACCATATCACAGATATTTGAGCACAGAAATTTGCAATCAAAAACTATGTGCATCTTATGCACGTCGAAAAGCCATACCTCTTTCACAGGATAGGCAGGTAGTGGCATCATAAAATTTGCCTCAGTTGGATAATTCATCATGGCTGTGTAAACAAAAGCAGACCATAGCCAGTCCCAGACAAAATCTAGTGAACGAAGATCTCTGTACATGAGAAGAAATAAATTGGGCTAAACTGAGCACAAGTTGTACAGTCAACATCTTTTTAGTTCTCGAATAGAATCATTCCATCATTTTAGTTTCATTAACCTGTGCAAAAAATTTCCTCAAGTAAAATGGAATCTTTAAAATTTCTTTATGCATCCATGTGTGGAGAAATTACAAAGCAATACTAGAATTTCATTTGGAAGAAAATCCACATGTAACATAAAATAATAATAAGAAGCGATTAAACAATTACTGTAATAAATTGCACTGGAATCAAGTAAATAGTCTTACCCCATCTAGATAAATGGTTTTCAAGAATTTAGAAGGGTTTTCCACAAGCATAAAGCTGAGAAGCCTAACTAGTTTAGGATTGTGGATTACTTAAGTTTAGAAGGTTTTTCACAAAATTGACACATCATTTGTTTTAACTTCAGCAAGAACAGAAAGTCAATTATTCCAAAATTTCTATTTATGATAAATTTTGAGTGCCAAGGTCATAACTTACTTGCAGGTTCTGAATGTTCTGCTTAGTTCATGCAACCCTTCTTTCTGAGCTGAGAATGCCTCCAGCTCTGTCCAGCTCCCTTTTATCACCTCATAACAATTCAAGCTTGCCTCCTGCCCATATTCAAATTTACGAATAGAAACGTAAAGGGAAACATGAGAATCCAAGAAAATTTCAGATCAACTTTGCAAGCACAATGTAGTAGAAAGAAGAAGAGACCTTGTAATCCTGGGATACAGCATCGTAGAAGCTTGACCGAGGAGTAATGTCATCAAACTGCAAAATAGGGGCTGATGATGCCACCGCACCAATGGCAATGTGCGGGTACTTCAGTCTGAACCAGGCTGCCAGCACTGACAGATATAGAGGATGAATAACTAGAAATGCAATTGATGAGAACTGAGAAGAAGCAAAGAAAGTAATCAAACTGGTCGCATGAAATTAAAGGGAACAATACCAACTAAGCTATTTGATAAATCAGTTGCAAAGACTACTCAAATGACAGCAAAATAACTGCAAAGAGCAATAAAATCTGCTCCATTAATGCTTTCATTCTTTCAATTACGCAAACTACTTCAAGAAATTGCCACTGAATCGAGAAAATTACATATATATCTTCATGTCATGTGAATTGAGATGAAGAGTAATCATATATGTTCAAGAAAAATTACGAAGGAAAAACTTGGAAAGTAACAAAAGAGTGAGAAAGGTTTTGGACTTTGAGCTTACTTCCTCCATAAGAGCCACCAAAAACCACCACAGGAGATGCTTCGGAGGAAAGATTCTGCTTCAAGCTCCTTATCAAAACTGAAAAATCAGCCAATGCTTGCTGTGAATTCAAGTACCCTAACGTCTCTGCGGAGTTGTATGAGTCCTTCCCAAATGGCAACGACTCCCCATAAAATCTATGCTGAAATTCCAAGAGAAACAAACACATTACTTCTCTGGATAAAACCATTACCCAGATTTCACCAGATCAGTCATTCATTTTATCTCCTATCATTTTCTTGAGACCCAGGAACAGCTTTTAGCATCTGGGAACCCACTGTTATACTTATAGTAGTTGAGAAACAAGCGAAAGAGTTTTCTTTTTTGTTTTTTTGTGATTTTTCTTGGGAGCAACATAGAGGAAAAAAAAATGTTTCTCCTAGTGTTTTGAGCAAAATCCAGATAGTGATTTTAAGTGCTTAATCAATTTCTATTGTAACACCAAACAAAATTTGTCTCTTAAAACAGAACAGTACTTCAATAAAAACAAGTAAAGCCCTGAACTTTGGAGCAATATCCAGCAAGAAACCAGTGTTGGCTGCAAACCAGTCAATGTCACCTTCATTTCCAGTGTAAACAAAGATAGGAGCTCCTCTATGCCAGTATTGGCCATTGATAAGATACTTTTGGTAAAAGATTTCATAGCTCTTCGGTTGAAATGTAAAATGGTCAAGAATCTGAGGAAAGTAATGGGTCTTGTAAGGGATTTTTTGGTTTATGACCTTTGATTCTTTAGTTAGATATTGGTAGTAACCTGCTCTAGGGAAAAATGCAGGCAGTGAATTAGCAGTTGGTAATGTTCCAAGAATGGGAAAAAGAAGTAGCAGAAGAGATAAACAAGACGACATTGTTTTTTCTCTTCTATCTCTCTGCAGAGATGAGGGTTAAGGGATTGAAGCTCAGTTGCTTTTCTTTCTTTATATCTGTCTTCTTGTTAATTGCTTTTCATTTTTTGTTTGGTTTTAGCAGAGAGAGGTAAAAAGATGAGGCAAAGTTCAGTATCCGTTGTCAAGAGTGAATCTTTTTTTGACTCAAATAATTCTACAGTAATAATCAACAAGCTGCCAACAATGCTGAATTGCTGATGCCAACCCACTATAAACCTTAAACAGCAAGTGATGGGACAAACTATAAACTACAGACATTAGCCTCACATTATTAATTTATAATGTACATATTATGGCCCAAAAGCCCTGGCATCAAAAGGTTCTCTTCTTCTTTAAATAACCAGTAATGTATCGGCATTGATGCGCGAATTATATAAATTTTTATTCTCTTTCAAAATATTTGTCTGTTGACTATTATATAAAGTGTAAGAAATAAAGTTTAAGAAATAGATTAATTATAATGTCACATCATATAAAATAATTATATTTTTTCAAAATTGTCCTCCTTTGAAAAAAAAAAGTTATTTTTAGAATTTAAAATCATTTATAACGATATATATAAAGGAAAAGTAAATATCTCTTAAGTCAAGTGAATAAGAAACATGGACAAACATTTTGGGATAGAGAGAGTATTTTTTTATTATCTTAAATAGATAATTTTCAGAAAATTCTTGTAAAATTATTCATTTAGTTACCTTCTACAAATGACAACCCCAAAAAAAAATATAAAACACAAATTATGAATATGTTAGAGTAACAAAATGTTTATAATATTAATATCTTAATCAATTTCAAGAAAAAATATGATATTGAGAACCATTATTAGTGAATAAATTATTATAATTAATGGGTATTGAAATATTTTTTAATTATAAATCCTATACTCACATATTATTCACTTGCCAAATCATCACTTCAAAACTCTACATTTGTGCCATGTCAACTTTTAAAGTTTTGTTTTTATATATTTATATAGATATAGATAGTATTATCACAGAATACTACCTCGTCCTAATGTATAAAATTGGAACTAAGAATTTTATTCCTATGACACTCTAAAAGCTTTAGCGACCTATCGTGTCATTAAAGTTATAATTTTTAGTAATAACTTAGAACTTTAGATTTGACGTGTGCAATTTCCAATAATAATTTTTAGGGTCTCACTATGATCATGAAGTTGATTGATGATAACAAAAACTTTAAATCATACGTTAGATAGTTTAGAATTTACATAAATTCAAGGAAAATTTAAGCATTAGGGCATAGTATCTTTTGGAAAAGAAAAAGAGGTAACATGTTATACATGTAATGTGATTGTAAGATCTTAATGTCATTTGCCTAGTTTTGATGGTTTCTTCAGTTTTGTTTTGATAAATGAAGTAACTTTGTGCGGAACTGAAAAAGACAATGATAAGGTTGCTGTTTTTTTTTTTTTTTTTTTTTTTTCAGTTTTGTTTTTTGATAATGATAGTAACTTTTGTGCGAACTGAAAAAAGGACAATGGATAGTTGCTGTTTTTTTTTTTTTTTTTTTTTTTTTTTTTTTTTTTTTTTTTTTTTTTTTTTTTTTTTTTTTTTTTTTTTAAATAATGAGGGAAATATGCATATGATAGCTAATCCTCTCTAAGTTGTATAGTTTTATATGCCATGCATGTCATATTGAAATGAAAACTGCTATTTGAAAAAGCTACGAATGACAATACATAACTTAATGATAAATACATGTATAATCTGATAATAAATCAAGTTTAAATCTTCTCTTTAATACTCCAAAAAATAAAAAAATAAAAAAATAATTAAGTAGGTTTGTGAATTAAGTCATGATTAATTTCACCTATGAACTTTGTTATTCTGAACTTATGGCACCTTTTTCTTTTGTGAATCATCAAACACTTCAATTTATTGAATTACATATATTAAACACTTTAATTTGTAAAATTATTTTATTAAATATTTTTATTTGTAAAATTAGATCAATTAAAAATTTATTGAAAAGTTAAAAAATATGAAAATTATTGTTCTAAAAACCATGCTAACTACATATTAAATAAATATTTTACATATAAAAATAAAAAATTTAAAATAATTAATGTTAATGTGAAAAATTATGTAATGTTACTAAAATTTGTAAATTTAAATGGATAATAAGTCATTCACAAAATTGAGAGTGTCACAAGATTGAAATTACAAAATTCACGAGTAAATTTATACATTCCTATTAATTCGTAAACACGTAAGTACATATATGCTTGCCTTTTATATTTATTTATATATGCTTATAAGAAAAAAAGAAAACATAAATGGCTTTCCTTTCATTGCATGGGCTAGAGATGGTCATATTACGGTTTCGGGAATCGGAACCGTCGGTTCGAACCGGTCCCGAACCGTTGATTCGAACCGGTCCCGAACCGTAACCGAAACGAGAGAACCGGAACCGGGCCGAAACCGGAAAATTTTTGGTTCGGTTCCGGTTCAGATTTCTAGAACTAGGAACCGGCGGTTCCAGAAAATGGCCGGGAACCGCCGGTTTCCCCGGTCCGGTAGAACCTCCGGTTTCAAACCGGTTCGAACGGCGGTTCTAACAGACCAATTTTTTTTTTTTTTTAAATTTGTTGTGAAATCTTCTTAATTTTTTAAAAAAAATTTTTGATTTAAAAATTAATTATGTTCAAGTCTTTAAAAAAATAAATTTCAAGTCTTTAAAAAAATAAATTTAATTGAAGTATTTTTTTATTTTTTAAGTGTATTTTTTTATTTTTTATGTTCAAGTATTTTTTTTTAAAAAATCGGTTCTCATTTCATTTAAAATTTAAAATTATGTGATTTGCCGGAAAATTGATCTGAACCATCGGTTTGGTCACCGTACCGGAATCAGAACCGTTCGGTTTCAAACCGGAACCGGAACTTTTCGGTTCGGTTCCGGTTCCAATTTTTTTGGAATCGGAACCGGAACCGCGGGTTCCGGAACCGTGGCCACCCCTAGCATGGGCTTTATCTTCTCTTTTATTTTCTCGACATCTCAGATCTCGCTTACTGTATTTTTTACTTCAGTAAATTTCTGAGAAGTGAATTAGTGTATTAATTTTGAAACTTTACAAAATTTCATTAATGGCTAGAATTTGGAGTAGTAGGGTATTATTGTAATTGCAACAAACAGTCAAACACTGCATTTTTCACTGCTAATCAGTTATTTTCTCTCCGATTTGGAGAGATTGGTTTTTGGTGGGCTCAAGAGAAATTTGCAGTAAATTTTCTTTCCTTCGCTATTTTCTCTGCATTTCCAAACAGGATAAAGTTACATTCCCTCTTTATTTCCCATTGATATTTTCTTTCGTCCTGTAGAACGACTCAATCCAAACAGGCTGTTAGATTCGATATATAAATAAAATTTACTTAGATTCAATATATGAATTTGGCTATGAACCAAATCAGCCAATAAAAAATTTTAAAAAATTATTTTTATTTTTTTTAATGAATAGTCAGAAATATCTCTGTTGGATTTGCTTGTACGTGTGAACTAAAATTATGTTCAATTTCTTGAATAAAGATGTAAGATGTAGAAGATAGTTGGCCACACGCGTGAACAACGTTTCTTTGTTTACAAAGTTCCCTTCCTTCCTTCTCAAGTTTGTTTCCTTCCAAACCAGTTTCTAACTGAACCCCCAAACACATACTCACAGGAAGGACCTAGAAACTCCCCCTGTCATGTGAGGCCCTCATCCTTCCACGTGGCACCCAAATATCCTAGTTGCAACCTCCTCATTTTATCCACATTATTATCACACTCCCCCCCCCCCCCCTCCCCCCCCCCCCCCCCTTCTCTCTCTCTATAAATGTCACCCATAGACAAGTACGAGTAATTAAAACTCTGATTTTCAAAATTTCACCCCCCCCTTCTCTCTCTCTATAAATGTCACCCATAGACAAGTACGAGTAATTAAAACTCTGATTTCAAAATTCAAGAAAACCTAGGTTTCAAGAATCAAGATTCCAACAATGGCAGGAGGAGCCAAGAAAGAGATGGAAGTGGTGAGAGGGCTAGACATAAAGAGGTATATGGGTAGATGGTATGAAATAGCTTCATTTCCTTCAAGATTTCAGCCAAAGAATGGAGTGAACACAAGGGCTACTTATACTTTGAATGAAGATGGTACTGTACATGTCCTTAATGAGACATGGAGTGATGGTAAAAGAGATTCTATAGAAGGTACTGCCTATAAAGCTGATCCTAAAAGTGATGAAGCTAAACTCAAGGTCAAATTTTATGTCCCACCATTCTTGCCTATCATCCCTGTTGTTGGAGATTACTGGGTTTTGTATATTGATGAAGATTATACCTATGCTTTGATTGGCCAACCTAGCAGAAACTATCTTTGGGTATGCCTCTTATCTTCTTATCTTAATTCTTTTTTAAATATTAGAACAGATTCTAGGGTGTGTTTGGTTGATCTTGAAATTGCGTTGGAGGTTAAAATGTTCAAAATTTCTATTTGGAATTATTTTGACAGATTTTATGAATTCTGCATTAGAGTGAATGAAAGATAAACTAAATTAATTAAGGGTTTTGGTTTGTTGGTTTTCAGGTGTTGTGCAGGCAAACTCATTTAGATGATGAGATATACAACCAGCTTGTGGAGAGGGCTAAAGAAGAAGGATATGATGTGAGTAAGCTACACAAGACACCACAGAGTGACCCACCACCAGAAGGAGAAGAAGGTCCTAAGGACACTAAAGGAGTTTGGTGGATCAAATCCCTTTTTGGAAAGTAGAAAACAGCTAGTAGCTAAGTAAAAGATTTCAAGAAATATACAATAATTGTACCAACATTTCCTGCAATTATTGAAGTTGTGTGGTTGGTAGTGGAGAGTATGTGAGATAGTAAAGTCACCTGCTGCTTTTGTCTATAGAAGGAAAAGCAATGGGTCCATCATGGGTCTTTTCTATCTTGGTAATATATGTGTTTCTTTGATTTTCTTTCTGATGTAATGGGTAAGGTAGTGCTATATATGGAAAATCTGCAAAATGACATTCTTGCTAATCCTCAAATGATCCAATCCACAAGTATTCTTCCATTATCTGAATATGAAAAACCTGTTGCGTACTAAATTGAGGATGGTGAAACCTTCAGCTTATTCCGTTCAATAAGATGGTCTAAAATTCATATCTATGAATCGAAAGTTCCGATAATCTACTCTGTAATTTGCTATTAGATCCAATAGATATTCAAATCATTCATTAAAAAAATTTGAAATCTTTCTCATTGGATAAAATTAAAAGCTATCTTTTTGGATGGTCATGATATTTTTTTTTACAATTTACATTTTTAATTAAGGCAGGAATAATATTACACTATTATCAAAGTTGATGATGGAATTCATTTTAAATTAAAAATAATCGCAGGAAATCTTTTGATAATATAAAATTTTTATTTTTAGATGCTATTCCACAATCAGATCAAAACAATTGGTTGAATCCCATGAAACCATTTGATAAAAGTTTATTAACACCTTTTTGCATATATATATATATATATACACACCGCTTCTCAACAACTAACTCTCAATACAACTATTTAATTATTTTTAATTGTTTAGCTTAATAAGCTCTTCAGTTTCAACATTTAAATCCAGTCATTCAACATCTAACATCTAACTCTCGATATAACTATTTAATTATTTTTAATTGTTAAGCTTAGTAAACTACTCAGATTCAACATTTAAATTCAGCCAAACAATCCTTAGTCTCTCTCTGGATGTGAGTATAACTATGAAAAATATATAAGAAAAAGAAAACTCGTCTAAAAAAAATATTGAAGAAAGTTATACCCCATGTGGTATTTTTTTAATGGAAATAAAATAACTATGAAAAATATCTAATAAAAGGAAAACTCAGTCTAAAAAATCATTAAAGGAAGTTATATTCCATGTATTTATTTTTCACCTGAAGTCATGAATATATTTTAAATCTCTCCGATCTGGAAAGAAAATAATAGAGAAAAGTGAAACTGTCACTTATTTTTATTAAATAATCCTACTACCCCAAATTAATCAACAAACTTCAGCCATTTTTTAAAAAATAACTAAAATAATATACTATTGATAAAAAATAAATGAGGCAAAATCGTCAATTTTCAATAACAAAATTTCCTTTCCTCGAAAAATAAATTTATTTTCTTTCCTTTGGTATGCCCAAACACAACGGTGACAAACAACTATGAAAGGAAAATTAATAATTCCTCATTGTTTTCCGTCATTTCTCTCATTCCACCATTATTTTCCAAACAAAGGCTTGAGTCAACGTCTAAATATAGAAAAGTGAGTTTTCAAATCCAGATATATAAATTGATTTAAGGACATTCTTAAATTGGTCTGAAGGTAGTGTTAATCGCAAATATCAAAAATAGCAAAAAACTGTAACTGAAATAAACAAGAAAAAATGTAAGTGTTTTCTTTTTCTTTTTTTCAAACAACATAATAAAGACAAACCAGAAAACAAAGATCAGTCAATTTGCTCCATACATTATTTAATAAAAATCGCAAACCTAAGAGAGAGCCCAACATTACACATCAACATACGCGACATGACTTGTACGAGCATTCCATCAAGATAAGTAACTTTATAATACTTGGAAAGAAAAGAATGAGAACCACGTAACAGCATGCCCATGGAACTGAGCTATTTAACTTAACAAGATGTGCAAAAACTATAACAAGAACTGTTAGTTGACTTTCTGGCTTCTTTTTCACTTTTTTTTTTTTTTTTTTTTCTTCTTTTTCACTTTTTTTTTTTTTTTTTTTTTTTCTGATCCAAGAGAAAATATCAAGAAGTGGATATTACAGAGTCTGACAAACAATAGATAAAATGATATATTAACATATTACAATCACATTTTCTATCCACCACAGCACTATAACAAGTGAATTTGCATATTACCTTATGCTGCTTGCTTTGGTAGGTTACAGTACGGTGCAACATTGATTGGTTTTTTTTGCTTGCTTGTAGAACATCTGTCCCAATGACCACCATAAGTTTTATATGTTAGCAACCTTCAAAATCATGAATGGAACAAGCATAGCTTTTATTTGAGAACAAAAAAAAAAAAAAAAAAAAAAAAAGTAGGAAGCTAAATACATAATGAATAATATTTTATCGAGAAGCAGGAGAATGTTTCCTCTTTCCTCTCACAACCAAAAAGCATAAATTAGCTTTCTAAAAGCTATCATAACAAAAAAAAAAAAAAAAAAAAAAAGTAGAAGATAAATACATAATGAATAATATTTTATCGAGAAGCAGGAGAATGTTCCTCTTTCCTCTCACAACCAAAAGCATAAATAGCTTTCTAAAAGTATCATAACGGGTCCTCAACTAATCATATCCCACTTGAATAATTATGCATTAGTTTCAGGCACCTTACTTAGCAAGCTACGACAATTGTAATTGCAGGGCACTTCTAAATTTAAAACATTCACATGCCTTAAAGTACATGAACCAATGGTGAAGCAATAATAATAAAATTTATCTCAAGAACATAATTAGAGAAGACAAAAACAAATGCAATAAACATATTTGCTAGGCATAAGAGATATTATCTAGCAAAGGAATATGGTAGCGTATAAATTCTTGTGGAAGTACCTGAGAAGCAGCGCTCAGATCTGAACTCTTCTCAACTAGACTGTCCAATTTCTCACCTCGTGCAAGGACACTGTCAATAGTTTTATGCTGTTGCAAGCAAATTGAGAAAAAGCTAAAAACCCATATATACATATCAAAGAGATAAATAGTAAATAGGAGGTCAAAAGGTAACAAGGTTGAACTACAGATATATGACAGGACTGAAGCATTTAGAGGAAAAAACAATTAATGAACACAACAAATTCCTTAAACATATGATTCTCATATGTTCCATGAATTGAAACACATTAATGTCAACATAGAACAAAGCCAAGGAACAAACTCAAGTCCAGAAGATCTTTCAATTTTTCAGTTCGAGATGCTAAGCGTTTTACTACCAGTCAATTGCAAGCTTTGTTTATCAGTGGCATAAACTCAGATTTAAGGGAATGCTAGTTTCCCAAGCTCATTCCATCCAAAAGTATATACTTATAATTTCAATATCAAATTCCCCTTAGGAAAGGGGGAAAAAAGGAAACAACACACGTAAGAAGGATCTCTGCAGTCTCTGTTTAATTTGTTTATAAAACAATTCATTACAATAGTAACAACAACAACAATCAAGCCCTCCTCCCAAACTAATTATGGTCGAAGGGTTAACCATCTCAGGCTTCTCTAATTTTAACCCCAACCTATGCTACTCGCACCTTTTATCGGATGTGGTTATTCCTAATTTTGTCCAATCTTATGTGACCATACATCCATCTTAACATCCTCATTTCTGCAACATTTATCTTGTAACATGTCGGCATTCAATGCTAACATTCACTCCTCTATAACATCGCACGTCTCACCACTATTCTATATAATTTGTCTTTCATTTTGTTAGATATCTTCTTATCACATGACGCACAAGTAGCATTCCTCTATTTCATCCATCCTGTTTTAACATTGTGCAGCACATCTTCATTTATGATGTCTCTTCTTGGATACATAGCCTAAATATCTGAATTGACTACACTCATGCACCATGATGCCATTAAATCTCACCTCCATTCTTATTATTGAAGCCAAACTCACACTGTATGTATTTTGTATATTACTTCTGCTTCATTGGAAATCCCTTTTCTCAAGAGTGCTTCTCCATAATTCTAAGTTTCTGGTTTACACCCTCGCTAGTTTTACTGAATAAGACAATATCATAGTAATTAAAGGCACAAAGGGCTGTTCAAGCCTAGGCACTAGCCTTTGGGCAAAGGCACGCACTCGAGCAAGGTGAGGTGCAATAATTAAAAGAATAAAAATAAAACACATGATGAACCAGATCATAAGTTATCAAAAAAAGAAAAAAAAAAAAGAACAGAAAAGAAACACACATAAATGAAAAACAAAACCAGTAGCATAACGAACCACATTTTAAGACATTGGAATTTAGATAGAAGGGAGCAGAATCAAGAACGTGAGAAAAACAAAAAGAAGAAAAAAGACAATAGAAAGCAAATATAAGAAGAAAATTAAGAAAAACATATCTAAATGGCTGCTGGCTGAAAGCTAGATTGCGAAAGGTGAGCGCTAGATGGAACCGAAGTTGGATCGCAGTGTATATCACTAGTTTTTTTGTTATATTCTCTTTATTTATTTATTTATTTATTAAAAGGTGAGCATATATTTGATGTAAACTCCTTTTTTCTCCAGTTCGCACAACAGTACTTTTCTCAACACTCTACCATATACTTTCTCTAAGTCAGTGAACACCATATTCCCCAACAATTTTCATCAATTCTTAGCAAAAATATAGCCTTTGTAATAGAACTACCAAGTATAAAGCCAAACTGATTCTTCGACACATGACACTTTTACAATGTTCCAAAGTCTATGTTCTATCACTCTTTCCCAAAACTTCATCATGTGACTAGGAAATTTAATACCACAATAGTTTATACAACTTTTAATATCTCTCGTATTTTTATAGATAGAAATCAAAGTTCTCCACTCATTTGCATCTTTCTGCTTAAATATAACAATATACCATTGAAAACTTGGTTAACCAAGCAACTCTCGCCTCTCTAAGAGACTTTCAGGCCTCTATGTGGATACTATTAGGACCACATGCTTTTTCAACCTTCATATGTTTAATGCCTCCTTAACTTCAACTAATTATACAGGGTAGTTAAGGTTTCTGTTTGTCAAAGAAGTATGGAAGTTGCTTTTTCGACCTTCATATGTTTCAATGGCTCCTTAACTTCTATAGGCCTAATTTTACGGGTATTGTTATGGTTTCTGTTTATCAAAGAAGTATTAAAGTTTGTCAAGTCATTCTCATGGCTTGTGTTGAACAGCTAGTCAAAATAGTATCTCTATCTCTCCTTCATCTCACTATCTACTGTTAAATCCAATTGACAATCATCTTTAATACACTTAACTTAGTTCCAATCCTTACCCTTACTCTCTCAAAAGTGCTAGCTTGTAGATTTCCTTCTCCCCCTCTACCGCTCCCAATTTTTGTACAAATCTGCTAAGGTTTTACCTTGGGCTTCATCAATTGCTTTCTTAGCCTCTCTCTTTACTTTCTTATATTCTTCAGGCATCTTCAATTGCTACTTTTAGTAACTTCCTACACCAATTTTGTTTTGCCCTAATGGATGTTTGTACCTCATTATTCCACTGCTATGATTATTATGGTTCAGGCCCTAACCCTTTAGACCTACCTAGCACTTCACTTGCTACTTTCTTACTACAACCTGTAATTTCCTTTCATAGTATATCCACATTGGCTTAATGAAACCTTATAAAACAATTCATTCTCCAAAAATTTTCACCAAGCTTGTTGCACAATCCTATGTAATCAACCAGCAGCAAAGAGAAAAGTTTTTTGCTTCCAACCATAAATATTGATACCAGGACTTATAGATGGCTATCCTGCAAACAACAAGCATTGTCTCATCTGTATATTCTTGTTAGATTTCATATCATTCTAGCTTCCTTAAAAGAAGTCATGAAACTGAAGTAGCCCCAAGATTTTCCACATTTTGCAGCTTGAAGAGAAAACAAGAATCAAAATATAATCCTATGTAATCCACCCAAAAAGATGATATTGCTATTTGCTACCTGATAGATTGCAGAAGAGCTAAGCCTAATCCTGAATTCAAATACATTCCACTGGTTCAAATAAAGTAAGAGTAGGATTCCTAAAACATCATAGGATAAGGAATAACCATAAAAAACTCAAATTTTCTCTATTTGTGAGTAGTGGAGAATATTTTTCATGTACCATCACTTTGGAGATCATCTATGGTCTTCTAAACAACGTCAAATCAAACCAATTCACCATGCTACAAATAAGAGAATCCCATGTTACCAGCAATTCTCCACCAATAAATCAATCATCTCTCCTATCCTCAATAAACAAGTAAATATATTGCTAAATTGCTTCTTCCTGCAATAACAGCAAAACCATTGATCATCTTCACCTTGGGGCTGCACTTGGCAGTCACACTATGATAATTTCAATATATCATCACATTTCTCCATCTCAACAAGGGAGCTTACCCATATATTGATGCTCTCACTATGCAGACATCTAAAAATATTAATACTCTGACATGCCCTTACTCTCTTATTATTACAGGTGCAGCGCAGGGTGGAAGAGTCCATAGAATTGTATGCCCTTGATAGCAAAGCAACTAGCAGAGCCAATTCTATGCCCCTTTGTTATGAAATATCATAATATAATTGAGCGCTACTTGCCTATTTGTCCAAGCCACAGATCAAATTGGCATAGATAGTTTTTGAACTGTTGATAACCAAAAACTGGTGGGCAGCGAGGATAAAGGAATAAGGAATTGAAAGTGCATCTTACTAGAAAATAGATAGAGGTGGGGGTTACAATAGAATCCTCAATACAGGGCCAATAGAATTAGGAAATGCAATTATGCAAAGACCAGATACATGTAAAACACATAGCTATGAACTCACAAGGATAATTTTTGTCTCATCCAACTCCCTCTGAATTTTCAACAACTTGTCCGCCTCCGCAGGATCCTGAAAAATTTAAGAGTAAAAGCATCAGGAAATATGAAAACAAGAAGATTTTTGGAATTTCAACATTCAAAATATCATCTGACTTCTAAGAACATTAATTGCTATCCGCTGAATTAACTACTGAATAACTATGGGTGACAAAGGAGAGAAGGTTAACTTACTTGAAACTTGGTCACAGCTTCAGCCAAATAAGGCCAAGGTTCAGAGTTATCTTCCTGGGCAGACCTCCAAGAATCTCCAAAATTCTTCTGATACTCATCAATCACCTGCAAACAATTCAATTCTCATCAATCAATGAGATAGCAACTGCAAACAATCCTTCCACATAACATAAAGTAAGTTCAACAACCAATATGTACAATTATATTGCATGGTGCAAACAATATCACGCATCAAATGAGCTACATGCTTCCCAGCCTTCAAGCCCAAAAGATAAGTAATCAACAGGGATCATCACCCAAATCATGGGCCATAGAATCACAGCATATGAAGAAGCCATAAGGTGAATCTAACAATTACATTACAACATCTACATAGTAGCATATTACAAAAGTTATCGCTTTCATAAACCAAGTTATAATGCATTTAACCAAAAAATACAACAAAAACCACTTGACATCCCAATCACAGTTGCACTTCAAACCACAATACACCTCTTTTTGTTTTACAATTCAATTGAAAATGCATAAAACTGAGAAGAATTACCTGATTGAGAACCGAAAATGCACTTCGAACTGGATAATGAGGGTCCATAAAACCCAACGCACATAGGCCATTTCTATTGTAAGAATGCACATTGTACTCTACATAATAAAAGAAAATGGAAGTTTCATTACCAATTTCCAATATAAAATAGACAATTCAGCTCTCTCCAACATTAGATCCGAATTTTTCATTAAATTATTAACAACTAATGAAAATAACAAATCCAGTCTTACAATTCATAATATCAAAAAGAAACTAAAAGAAGCAATCGGAAAAAGAAACCAAAATGAAACGACCTTCGTGCTGGACGGACTGACGTTGGCCGGGAGGAGTCCGTTTGGCGACTGTCCGGCTGACAAAAACAATGAATTCTTTGACGCTGGACCTTTGAAAGTACCCAAAACGACTCACATCGGAGGCGTTTGCTAAAATAATCGGATCCGATCCCTCCGGAGTGCACTTCAATACAACAAGCGCCGTGATCTTCATGTCTGTCTCTCTCTCTCTATCTATTTGCTTCTCTCTCTAGAAATCGAAAATTCTCTCCGTTTTTGGTTTCTTCCTCGTCACAATCTGGTTCGCGTTGTTTTGGGATCGTTGAAAGCAGTATGAGTTAAGATAAGCTGTGTTTGAGTTTAGTTTACTTTTTTGTAACTGCTTAGGTGGCAAAAAAAAATGCCAGCTTATGGAGATGAACTCAGTCTTGACCGTTAAATAGGATATTAGTGTCGGGAGCCGTTCCCTATTTATGTAGTGGGTCCAGTAATTCTAGAGAACTTGGTTCCCCGCGTGGGTCCCAGCAGTTGTTCGTTTCCTCCACCAACAAAAAGGAAAAAGATTATTACTCTGGTTTCTGCATTTTCGATTTATTTTTTTAATTAATTTAAAAAATTCACTTTTCAAATAAAAAATCACTAAAGACTAAAAATTATATTGTCAACAATTTAACGAGCGTAGATATTATAATATTGTTTTGCTGTTAATGTTTTAAATTATTACTTCCATTCTCGTAATTTTGATAATTTTTGACTTCTCTTAGAAATTAAAGAAATGATTAAACTACTATAAAAAATAAAATTAATTAATTAAATTATTTTTCATCAATTTTTTATAATTAAGAAAATTAAAATTGATAGAAGTATTTAAACAAGAGTAAAATTAAAATAAAATAATTAATATTGTATTAATTTTTAAAAATGTTAACTAACTAAAAAGTCAAAAAAATGTCCAAATTAACAAAATTGGAGATAGTATATTAATACAAGTCAAATTTATACCCATTTCCATTGTGTTAAATTTGATAATTCTTTATTTTTTTATTTATATGACATTTTTAGAACTCAAAATAGTATTAATTATTTTATTTCAACTTTATTCTAGACGTATCTTAACAAAACTTTATTTCAATAAAATGAATATTAAGATAATCTAATCAATTATCTCTTTTTTTTTTTTCTAACATTGAGGTGCTTTTTTCGATAATTTTCTTAATTCATATAAAAGTCACAAACTATCAAATTTTTCGGTACGGATGAAATATTATATTATTAATTATGAACAATATAGTTAATTATTTTCATTGTCTTAAAATATAAGTCATTTTGAGGTTGTTATTATTTCATAATATAAGTCGTTTGAGCATCTATCTATATATCTATATGAAAGCTGAGAATATTAAAGTGTCTTCCTATGATCACCCTTGCATTTATCTTTTGTTGGAAATTTTTATAATTTCTTTTTATTTTTTTTGCAATTCGATTGGATCTATATTTTGTAAATGTTAAATTTTAAAATTTTTTTCAATAAATAAATTGATAATTGGGCATTTTAAAATTTTAAAAATTTAATTTTCATCAAGATAAACACTAACTATAAAATATTAATTTGAATACAACACAAATTCTTTTCAAATCCAACTTATTTATACCATTCATGATTGAGCTGAGCTCATAGATGATTGTGAATATCAGTATGTGGAGCAATTTTAGACCTGTTTTTTTTTTTTTTTTACTATAAAATATTAATTTGAATTACACACCCAAATTCTTTTCAAATCCAAACTTATTTTATACCATTTCATGATTGAGCTGAGCTATAGATGATTGTGAATATCAGTATTGTGGCAGCAATTTTTAGTGACATGTTTTTTTTTTTTTTTTTGTTTTTTTTTTTTTTTTTGAGTGTTAGATAAAAATGCTTTTTTCTTTTTTTTTTTTTTTGAGGATTCTTATTTTGGATACCATTGTATTATATCGGGGGTTAGAGGATTGATTGAATTAGTTTGGTCTTTTGTTTTCTTTTTTCTTTAAAAAGAAAAGCTTAGATTTAAGAGCCCTTCAATAAATTAAAGGAGTAGTTCGAAAGGGTTTTCAGGTTCAACGAGCTGTGGAAGTTCAAGTATCAAAGCTTTCAAAATGGTGGATGAAGACAAATTGATTATGGGAGGGTGAGAATATGGATAGCAGAAGAGAAGACATAAGCACTTTAGTTAAATTCATCTCATATAGATGTCAGGAAAATCAGAATTTTACAAAAGAAAATCAGTATAGTATTGTAAATAAAATATTATGGGCGCATGATTCATTAATTTTATATATATATATATATATACTTTTTGCCTTTATGATAGATTTTAACTTAACATATGGGAGCAAATTACATTTATGCTTAACAGGAGATATTAATGATGTTGAAGGTTGTATATCTATTAAAATTAATATTATTCCTTGAATTATCTATGTTTAAATTTTTTAATATTGATAGAAACTAATTAGGTTATTATTATTTCATCTTTTTCGGTGCTAGTACAGAATCTTTTTATTGTTGTTCCTAACCATTTGATAATTCATAATAATTTATCAAAATAATAATATAAATAACTATGACAATTAATAAAACAATACTTAAACACTTGTGTGTAACTTCTTGACTAAAAGCTTGTTCAACCGCAATAATGGAGACCGGAGCTGCTAAAACTTGTTTTGCAATTAAAGAAAGTATTGGAAATGTATTGGCATGACTACTCCACCAATCTAAAATTGAAAAATTATTATCTGCATAATCATCATCAAACTCAAAAGAAGTGGTTAGATAATTATCAAATTCAGAAAAAGAACAGGGTTCCCTTTGTCTTTTTTGTCTTGGTAGTAAAACCCGTTCAGCAACACCAACCCTACTAGTACTTACCCTTTGAGTTGGAAATTGTTGAATATCAAATTGAGAAGAATTAGAATTAGAACTAGATGAACTAGAAAGTTCAACAAATTCATGATATAATTCTATAATATTTTTTCTAACTTCATGCAATACTACATTTATATTAACACTATCTTCTCTATCAAGATTTAATAATTCATAATAAATAGTCTGATCCGGTTCGAACCATAAATTTTCTTTTTTTATTTTCAAAATGATAACCACTTAGCATATTATATACACCTCTAAAAGTCTAAATAATATTTTAATACATGATATATTTTACTTAACATTTTTTGTAAATACACTTTACTTGAAAAGTTAAAAATTAAAATGGTAAAAAAAGGAAATATTTAGCATAAAATTATATTGTTTTTAACTTTTTTTTCCTTTTAAATTATTTACTTAGTTCAAAATTACATCGTTTGAAACACTTTTCAAAATTTTCTAATAATTTATTTAATTAATAACATTTAGAAAAAAATAAAATTTAATTTATTTAATTAATAAAACATTTATTTATTTAATTAATAACATTTAGAAAAAAATAAAATGATAATTTATTTGATTATTTTGTAAAATTAATTAATTTTATTTTTATATGAATATTCATATTCTAAAATTTATTTAAAATGAAATTTACCAATATTTTTTAAACTCATTAATTTTTTCAAAAAAAAGATGTAACATTAGAATTACTTTTTTTCTTTTAAAAATATTATACATATATCGTCGGAAACTATGATTGGAACTGCCGGTTTATCGAAACCGCACTAAAATTAGTCGGAATCCAAAATTGGACCGAAATTAATAGTTCAAAGCCGATTTAATTCAACATTTTAAAAATTTTGAACCACCGGTCTAATGAACCCGACATGCCTACTAATTACCTAGTGCGCACGTTGGCCCCTACCTCTCTCTCTCTCTCTCTCTCTCTCTCTTTATTTCTTTCCTATATAAGGGTGGCCATATTACGGTTTCGGGAACCGAAACCGTCGACTCGAACCAGTCTCGAACCGTAACGGAACCGGTGAGAACCGGAACCGGTCTGAATCGAAACTGGAACCGGAGATTTTTGGTTCGGTTCCAGTTCCAGATTTCTGGAACCGAAATCGGCGGTTCCACAAAACCGGTCGGAACCGCCGGTTCTCCAGCAGCCATAAACGGCTAGTTTCAAGGGTATTTTTGGAAAAAATAATTTTTTGGATTTATTATAAATACCTCATTTCATTTACAAATTCATCACAAAAAAAAACTCTACTCTCTTACTTACTCTCTTACAATATTACTACATTCTACTCTATATTATCTTCTCTACTCTACCAATTTCTCTTATTAAGTTATATTCTCTCTAATCTTTTTATTCAATTTATTCCAATTATATCTTATTATTCATATAATTGGCAAGTGGCAGGAAACTCAAATTCGGGGTAAGGGCAAGGGAAAGATTGGGAGAAACACAATATTCATCTATCCCTTACAAACGACATTCTATGATTTCATTTCCCAAACCATTTAATTTGAGGGATAATCCAAATGGAAAAACCAAATGAAAATTTGGAAATTCCAACTCAAGAATCTGAATTTAATGATGAGCAAGTACGATAAGAGGAAGAGCAAGAGCAAGGTACACAACTTCTTCGAAGAACAAGACAAAGTTCCGACATATTCGCCATTCATTTCACGAAGAAATTCAAAAGTGACAAAATGTTCTATGTAATTTGCAATTATTGTGGAAAATCTTGTAAATTCAAACAATCTGGCGGTTATGGAACCTTTTGGAAGCATTTAGAGACAAAACATCCAACAAAAATAGGAGTTGATCAGTCTCAAACACAAATTTCTGGGTACGCATCTTCTAACATTTCTTTATTTCAATATTCTAAAAAACAACAAAAAAAAAGAATTAGCAAAATTGATTTCTATAGAACATTTATCTTTTAGTTTTGGTGAAAAAGTAGGTTTTAATCAATATTGTCAAAAAGCTTTAAATCCTTCTGCTAAAAGAGTGCTAATTGTCAAAAAGCTTTAAATCCTTCTGCTAAAAGAGTGCCAAGAAATACTGTAAAACGAACTATTAGTTCTTTATATAATAAAGGAAAAAAAGAGTGAGAGCTTCTATTTTCTCAAATGAAAATTCGTGTTTCAATTTGTTGTGATACTTGGAGTGATCATTGGCAAATGCATTCTTATATGGGCATTACATGTCATTGGATTGATGATAATTGGAAAATTCAAAAAAGAATTATTACATTTCGTGTTTTTGATGATAAACTGTAATACCCTGAATTTTTATTTTCAAAACTCGTGAATTTTTATTAAATCAAAAATCAGAAATTACGACTGCTCGGACTGCAAATACCGTTTAGTCGGATTCAAGCCCAAGTTTCCAAGGTTGGGCTCAAGCCCAAAACACATTATCGGGATTACCGGATTGAAAACCTCTAGATATTTTCAAGAATGGA